CACAAACTGTCAAACACATCTTACCAGCAAACATACACTCGTTTTCATCCTTCTCTCCACTCTCTGAGGCAGAAGTCTCTAAACTCATCCTTTCCTATTATCCTACTACTTGTCTGCTTGATTCTATTCCATCTCATCTCCTTTAAGCCATATCTCCTGCCATTGTACCTGCACTCACTCACATCGTTAACACATCCCTTCACACTGGTGTTTTTTCCTCAACATTTAAACAGGCTCGTATAACCCCACTTCTTAAGAAACCCACTCTTTTAGAGAACTACCGACCGTTTTCCCTTCTAACTTTCATTGCAAAAACACTTGAATGAGTTGTGTTCAACCAAGTCTCTGCTTTTCTCACACAGAACAACCTCCTGGACAGCCACCAATCTGGCTTCAGAAGTGGACATTTGACCGAGACTCAGCTGTTGAAGCCCTAAGACTGGCAAGAGTGGCTTCCAAATCTTCTATACTTATCTTGCTGGATCTGTCCGTTGCTTTTGATACTGTGAACCAGCAGATTCTCCTGTCAACCCTATTGGAAAATGTCATCTCAGGAACCGCACGACAGTGGTTTGAATCTTACCTCTCAGATAGGTCCTTCAATGTATCTTGGAGAAGTGAGGTGTCCAAGTCGCAACATCTAACTACTGGGGTGCCTCAGGGCTCAGTTCTTGGACCACTTTTCTTCTCTGTCTACATAGCATCACTAGGTTCTGTACCTTGGAGTTGTGATTGATGATAAGTTGAATTTCCCAGACCACATTGCTAAAACTGCTTGGTCCTGCAGATTTGCTTTATACAACATTAGGAAGATCAGGCCCTTTCTTTCAGAACATGCAACACAACTCCTTGTTCAAGCTCTTGTTCTATCCAGGCTGGACTATTGCAATGCTCTCTTGGCAGGTCTTCCAGCCACTTCTATCAAACCTCTACTATTAATCCAAAATGCCGCTGCAAGATTCATCTTTAATGAGCCGAAAAGAACGCACGTCACACCTCTGTTCATCAATTTCCACTGGCTACCAGTAGCTGCTCTCATAAAATTCAAGGTACAAAACCACCACTGGCTCTGCACCCCTTTACCTAAATTCATTACTTCAGAGTTATGTGCCCTTAGAAGCTTGCATTCTGCAAGTGAACAACGCATTATTGTGCCATCCCAAAGAGGCACAAAATCACTTTCACAGACTTTTTCATTAACTGTTCCCTCCTGGTGGAATGACCTGCCCAACTCAATCCAAAAAGCTGAGTCCTTAACCATCTTTACGAATCAGCTAAAAACACATCTGTTCAATGTTTATTTGACCCTCTAACTCTAGCACTTTCTATTCTATTTTAATTCTACTTCATCTATTTATCTTTTTTTATTAAAAAACCTAACACCAGCTTTCTATTTTTTTCTATTCTATCTACTTGTTTTTCTGTGTGTGTGTGTGTGTATGTATGTATATATATATGTATAAATACCTTGCTACGTGACCGAGACTTGACATTTGCACTTACATATTGTTGCTCTTTTGTTAGTTTTTGATTGCTTCTATTGTCCTCATTTGTAAGTCGCTTTGGATAAATGTGTCTGTTAAATGACTAAATATAATGTAAATCTAAATGAAAATTATCTACATTAAAAAAATGTGAGCTCAAACTTCATTTTTACCCCTATTTTGAAGTTACAGTACTCTGCCTTTGCATTGTCTGCAAAAAGTGAGTCCCACCAAGGCAAAAGGCAGTGACTTACACATTATCAATATTTGGTTGCTGATCACCATTTATAAAATTGTTATAGTAACACCTGTATAAAATCTAGTGATCATTGGTTGTCTCATAGGCTATTAAATATAGTAATGTGACTGTATTGTTTTTTTTTTATTTTTACAATAACAAGCAGACTAAAAGTTAAACGTGAGTGGATACCGTTTTGCAACCAATTTATTTGCTATGCTCAGTAACGTAAAAGAATGCTAGACATAGCATAATTGCTTTTATATTGACTTCAATGAAATAGCCTAAAAGAACGACTTGTAGATTGATGTGAATGCCAGCAAGTAGGAATAATGCTCAGAATGCTTGTGAATTAAACATCTCTGATGACGTCATCGCCATGGATTTATTTTATCTGGTTACAAGAATGGATTTAATTGCGAATGTAGCCTTCTGATTTTATGATTGATCATGCTACATGCTACGGCATTCGAGTCCACATGCGTAAAACTAGAAGTGACAGCCTGGTGAATAATCTGCATTACAAAAAGGAAAATAAATTATATATATATTTAAAGATTATTCACGATAACATATTGCTGCCAAGGTATCTAGTATTTACAGTGCTTTGTTATACGGAGCTGTTTGGTAGAACACGATCTATCTAATTCGTTTGTCTAATAAAGTGCTTCAGTGACAGGTCAGATGCATGAAAGTATACAATTTGCACCATAATTAAATTGCGGTAGACTTAAATGGACAGCTAAACAAAAGTAGAACGCCGTAACTCAATTTCAGCGTTCTAAACAAAGTGAAAGAGCGGTAACTGGTGGGTATACATGTTTTGCCTTGGTTTCTCTGGGGCTTTTCAAAGTTACGGTTAAGACAACCCATTATTTTCACGGAAAAACAATGAAATTGACTCAAGGTACTTATGCACATGATAAAGGATGTCTTGAATGTCCCAAAATACCAATAACTAATTTTCGACCAAAATCGAGGTTACAGTCTTTTGCCTTTGCACGGCAGAATAGTAAGTACATGTAACATGTGTAACAAGGATACCTTAAAATAAAGTGTTACCTAAGATTGTCCTACTCTCTTACAAAGCTTGTAATAATCAGGCAGCTCCATTAGACACTGAAGAACTGCTTCAGGTTCACTCAGTACATTTTCTGATGTTGCCACAAAATATAGACCTAACTAATGTTGCTAGTTAATGTTAGGACTTTTAGGGTAGTTTTCTTTAGATTAGGAAACTGTTAGAAAACACTCCCTGTCTTTCTGTTGAGTCCAGATATGTCTTACCCCTCCTTTTTCTCCCTCTCTCTCATTCTTATATATACAACGCATTCTTTCTGAATCCCTCCTTCTGTATCCATCTCTCTCTCTTGATATTATGTTTTAAATATGTCTTACTTATATGCGAAGTATGCATGCTTAAATGTATACATTAGCTTCTCTTGGTTTAAATGTCCCAATAAGGACATGAATGTTAGGACTACAAGGGTAAAGGAGTTCGAGAGAAACTCTGAAGACAGTTCAGCATTCTTCGCAAAAGTCTATTCCTAATATGTCCATGTTTTTCTGTACATGTGGCCATTTTATATAAACACATGTTCTTGGCCAAAGATCCTACGTGTATGTTATTCATATCCTCATTGGTTAAGAGGATGAAACTCCCCTCGACATATGCCTATATAATATCTGTATTTCTATGAATAAATTGAAGTATTGAGGATACATTTGACTGTGTGTTTTCTTACTTCCCGGCCGTCTGTCTACACTTTAAGTAACTGAGAATTCTTCAAGGTGGCAAAGAGAATTTACTGAGGGACCAAATTGTTATTCTTTATTAACAGAAACTGTGCTGATTTCAAAACAGTGCTCTAAACTCTTTTTTCTATGTTTTTGTCAAGCTTCTAAGAAGTGACAAAGAAGAGTCCTCTATATTGAATCTGAAAGCAGAATGAATTTGCCTCTTCCAATAATAAGGAACTTCAAAAGACATGGTTTCTTTTATATCTACAGCAAAACTGAAATCTGTGTGGTTTAAAATGTCCCACAGCTAGCTTCACATGTTAACCAATTACTATTAGAGTGGTCTGAATTAAAAAGCATACATTATTGTTATCTCAGCAACTTTCAGTTCCTCTTTGAGCCAGAGGTCAATTAAATGGGAACTTGATGGTCAAAATATGACTGATTTTGAGATCTGGGAAAAACATTGATGGCAAGGGGGGAAATCTAACAGATCATTCATGATAGAGGTTTGAAAGCAGTTTCCAGGGGCCCCCAGTTTTGTATGTTCCTGATTTTGTAAAATTTCATTAAACGTTTGAGTAGATTCTGAGTTTTTCTGTGGTTATTCCTGGCACACTTGTTTTGACAAGATCGCTAAGAAGTTTTGAAGTATATACACTAGTGTGCAGTCAAAAATAGGTGATCAACACATCGCACTAGAAAGTTTCATCTTTGTCCGGTGTCTGCACTATTTCTCTACAGAAGTTGTGAACGTTAAAAATGTCTTTGTACTCTTTTAAACTAGAGTTGCACCTCATATAAGCGTTCACGACCTGGACTCTCTCAGTTTGTTATTGTTGTTCCCTCATTTCTGTTTCTTTTTGGACTGTGAAACAACAGCCCAGATCAATTCATTAAAAGTGGAAGCTGAGCTTGTGTGGTTAGAAAAATTTGGCTGCGTGCATAACAAAATCGATATGCACTGTGGGAATACTCTATATATAGCATACATATAAAAACTGAATTATACTTTGGCCTTGAGGTGCACTTTTACATTTTGAACACGAGATATCACACAATACTATCCAACTGCAGAGCCATAGTGCTGATGAATGGAAAGGAGGACACAATCTTAAGATGCTTTTTTAAAAGTGTGGCACTCATGTGCGAGATGCTGAAAAATCTGAGAGACAAGGAGCAATGGACAAAGACACATGTTCAGATCAAAACCATGTTTTGTGTAAACAGCGCAAAGTAATTATATCTACACTTTATGATTGACCATCACCGCATCCAGACTGTATACATGCTCATACTGCTAATCTTATGCTTTTATCACACCGAGCATCAAAACGGTAATGTAATGTTGCAACTTTTTATCCCACAAAATTACCAGAACTTGTTTACTGGTAGTTCTCAGGTACTGTTCATGATCTCTAAACAGTGATTCATTAAAAATACTCCAGAAAGGGCTGTATGTGTGAAATCCCCTATTAAAAAGGGAAAACTAAACTGTTTCAAAAATTTAATTTCCTCTCTCTCTCTTTCCCGAGGGGCTCGAGGGGTGTGTTTTGCCAGTTAATTCCAGCCCCCTGTGAAACTCGATAAAACTGTTATATCACCCTGGTCAAACAGATATCACTTTCTGCCTGTTACCAAACAAGCTGCTTTTGAGAAGATTTTCTTCTGACCGACCACATTTATCCAAGTAAGTGTATTTCTATTGAATCACACTTGTAATAAGTTTGCATGTGACTATAGAGATTATAGGCAACAAACTTCAGTATTCTGTAAAATAGGTTGTGTTGCTTCTGCTTTTTTCTTTCTTTTTTTTTTCAAATATATTTTAAAATCTATTTCAAAATATACAAAAATGGCCAAGAATATATTTGTTTCAAAATGTAAACAAATTTTCTACCAATATATTTTTTGGCCATTTTATGTAACATTTTGAATGTATAAATATATTTTTATATTTAATAGTTTAAACATATATGTTGCCCTCTATATATTTAATTCCAAGAAAATGCATTCACATATGTCACATATTAAGAAAAACTTGATTTGTTGTGTGCAACACGTGCGAACATATAACACATAACTTCGGCAAGGAACATAATTTAAAGGGATAGTTCACCCAAAAATTGAAAAAATTGAAAAGATGAACGAAAGCCTTACGGGTTTGGAATGATATGAGGGTAAAGTAAATAATGACAATTTTCATTTTTGGGTGAACTATCCCATTAAAATTATCCAACAAATTTAATAAAGCCAAATATAAAAATATATTTAACATTATTAAATCCTTATAAATCTACTTCTGATCTTTTGGAGGCCATCCACATTTGTATTTAGCCTACAAAAGACTGAAAATGATTTGTTTTGCCCCTGAAATACATAAAAAACATACTTTGGTCTATGAAGGTTGAAACTAAATATATGTTCTTTTTAAAAAATAAATAAATAATTTATATATATATATATACACATGTATATACATATATGTTTACAACATATATTTATTTATTTTTTGGCCATATGGGAGATACCAAAGATGATCACATCCAATGTCCATCAATATGCAGACTGATATCTAAAAGTTTTTCATTTTTCTTCTTCTAACTTACATTTGGATATTAAAATCAAATAAAATGGCAACAATAAAACAACTAGCCAGGTTGGCTGATAACCTTAGAAGTTCGTAGATATCGGCATCACTTCATACTGCTGTTAACAGTTTCTCCGACAAATGGATGTGATAAGACCTGTTTTCCTGTTCCTGGTCAGGTGACGTTCAATATACACCCCATTACAGAACTCCACAATGTACACTCTCTCTCGAAAAAAAAATACAAAACCTGTCACTTGGGCAGTACTAATAGGTACTAAAATGTAAAGAAGGGAAATAAGGCACAAAGGTAAACTTTTTGAAAGGCTACTTCCCCAGTCACAGCTTTTGAATAAATACTGTAGTAACAGTATTATAGAAATGGAGAGATTAGGAAGCATTTTGTAAAATAATTTTGTCAACTGTGTGGCCAGTTCTGACATTAATCTCTCATGCACATTTCAGCTCTAATGGCTTCAACAACAACTGAGTCAACAACTCTACAATTAATTGGCGGCAATGAAGGAGATCGATTTTGGTTCACTGGTGAGAGCAACGGTGCCAGTTTGTGTAGGATGTGGGTATGGGTGGGGCCGTCGCAGGTTAAGGCTGTCAGGGCCTGGCTTTCAGATGGGCGCAAAAAAACATTTGGAGAACCAGTCGGAGAGCACAAAGAGTTCAGCTTCAGGCCTGGGGAGAGGATCGCCACGCTGTCCCTGTGGGGCAACGGAAACGGCACGCGTCTTGGAGCCATCAAATTAATAACCGACAAGGAAAGAGAATTTTTTGTGAAAATGACAAGCTGGGGTTTAAAAACAGAATACCCTATGGATGTAGGCTCTGGATTTTGTCTGGGCCTTGTAGGAAATTCCGGACGGGACATTGACTGCATGGGATTTTTGTTTCTCAATAACATTCAATCCGCAGTTCTTTGCGACGTCAGATATCCCACCATTAAACAAGTGACTCCGCAGGTGTCAGTGGAAGAAATCAAATCTGTCATTTACAAGAATAAGACCTCTGTCGGTCAACAGCAAACAGTCGAAATATCAAAGAAAATAATCAAAACAAACTCATGGTCTGTGAGCGAAAACATCACAGCCACATTCAGTGTGGATGTAAAGGCGGGGATTTCAAACATGGCAGAAATTTCCACAGGATTCAGCACTTCTGTCGGAGTAGAAAACACTTGCAGTTGTGTGCACACTAGTGAAAGAACTGAAACTCTGTCTACCAATATAGATGTTCCACCAGGGAAGAAGATTCATGTGAAAATCACCATTGGCAGACGCTCGTTTGACCTGCCGTACACGGGCACAGTGAAGATGACCTGCCGTAACGGCAGCGTGTTTTCTTTTCAAACCACAGGCAAATACAAAGGCATCACTTACACTGATATGAAAGTAGATACTAAAGAATCAAATATTTGATACATATACTGTATATTCTTTGATTTTACTAGCCTATATGTTACTTTGTCTACATTCCAAAATAATTTTCTCATGTGCGGTCAGCAGATTTTCCACGCCTGATTTGTATTCCTCTGTTTAATTTTAAAGGCCTATTTTCTCTAATATTTTAGCAATTGTAAATATATATTTAACATAGTCTTTGTCAATTTTTTTTTACTAATTCGAATACTTCATACTCACTTGTAATGATCCGAAAATGTACCTTCAGCAATGTATTATTTACTTTATTGTGTATTCAAATGTGTCTGTTAATTTTTTTTTTTTAATTTCCCAAAATGTGTGGGATTTAATAAAATGATTTCAAATGAAATTAATTCCTTGTCATGAGCTATTAAAAGCCTGGTTTGCTATCAGTTAAACAGTTTGCTTCAAATAACCTAACGGACAATCATTTAAAGAATTTGACTTTTTCTTTCTATTTGGAGTACACAGAACTACTGAGCAGTACAAGAGTTTAGAAACTATCCAGAAGAAAAATAATATGTAAATATTAAATCCAAGAATTCATTTAAAAAAGGGGGGGACAACTTCAAAATTAGAAATCCCACTATAAATGTTTTAATTTCATTCAAGTCAGCCAAGACATAGTTTAATAAATCTACACAGTGTATATCAAGAGAAACTGTTGCTTAGAGTTGGTCCAAACCAGCATAAGGCAAAAGCACAATATAGAAAATGAAGTAAACACACCGTCCAGGTTATAAAAAAAAGCTTACTAACCAGTTTATGAGAACAATTTAAAATTTCTTTTGGTATTTTAGTGTCTTATCTGCAATTCTTGAAGTGGTTTCATCTCTACTGTAAACCAGATGAGGCTGATGAGGTTCAGTTTTTCTTGTGTTTGGAGGTGCTGCTGTTAAAGAGGTTGAGTCCGGTCCTAACACCGACCCCTGCTGCCGTCACACCCGGCTGCTGGAGCACCTTGTCCAGAGTCGTCTTCTTTATTGCAGCGGGAGAAATCTTCTCCTGGTCAGCTAAGTGCTGAAGCTCCCTAAAATTAAAAAAAACAGTGAACATGAGTGAGCAATGTCCATCTGGAAGACAAAACTGTTTAAAGAGGCCATCAAATTTAAAATGGGAGCTTTGTGGCCAGACGACGTCTGATAGTATGAATAAAATTAATAAGATAAACAAACCCACTTTATAGTACGTGTCTTTAACTGTTCAGTACATTTAAATAATTTGATACAATGTAATTATTGTGTACATACATGTATTTTCATTGTATTTACATTTAAAAATTACCCACATATAATTAAAACTGTAATTACACTGAAGACCACAGTACTGCCCCTTAACCCCAGCGGTTTTCAAACTGGGGTCTGGGGACCTCCAGGGGGCCGCAAGGGGGTGCTGGCGGTCCACAGAAATGTTTAGAGGAAAAACTGTGTAAAAATGTTTTAAATGAATAAATAATATTATTTTATTAAAACAAGTAAAAATGTGATTTAAATAAACAATGTAATAAATAAACACACAGAATAAAATAAATACATATGAAATAGCATATAAAATAGCAGCAAATACAACACGAACACTCAAATGTTTTTTTTAACGCAAGTACATAGTAGTTTAAGACATCTAATATTCAGAATTATTATCAATTTGACCTCACTGAAACTTTTGGATAACAATTTATATATAACTTTATATATCCTGCCCCATCTTCCTGTTTTAATAGAAAATACGTGAACACAGGGAGTAAAACTATGCTTATCAAGTAATTTTCAAGGATTATGACATGATGAATTATGAAGAAAGATAAATGAACACATCTAGCTGAAAATCAATCATCGGCAATTCTTTTGACTTCTTTTTAATAGCACTTATTTTTTATTTTGCTGTACCTTGTTCTGATGCATGACGCCTCCACGGCGTTGATCAGGAGGCTACGGAAGCCGCCACTTTCCATGACATGTAAAGCGTGGATCGTAGCACCTCCAGGCGAAGCCACGTTGTCTTTTAACTGTCCAGGGTGTTGCTCGGACTCCAGGAGCATTTTTGCCGCCCCCTTACAAAAAGCATCACAGTACTGTAAATCTCAGACACAAATATTTCTCAGATTACCAAGATGAGAAATGTTTCAGAGACTGTCAAGAACTAACAAGCAGAGCCTGAGCTCCGAGTCGCACAGCCAGTCTTCTGGGGAGTCCCATCTTCACCCCTCCATCAGCGAGAGCGTCAACAGCTAGGAACGCCTAAGATAAAAAGATATATAAAGATTTCCTAAGTCAGCGGTGGATGTGCAAAGGAAGCCACAAGGAGCTCAACTGTTGGTTTAAACCTCCTTTATAATCCTAGGTTGTCGCTTACATAGGCTGGGCCACTGCCACTAAGGCCAGTGACGGCATCAATCAGGTCCTCCTCTACCTCTGTGCAATAGCCCACACTGGCCATTAGCTGCTCCAGGAGCTTCCCGTCCTCCACCTCTGCATGGGTGCCTGTGGCGTACACCGTGGCCCCTTCACGCACCACCACTGGAGTATTCGTCATACAGCGGATTACTTTAGGAGCCGGGCGGTAGTGCAGCAATTTCTACAAGTACAGGAAGTTATGAAATGATATAGAATTGAATTGATGTGTGATCACAGGTGTGTGTATATTGTGTGGCTCAGAGATGAGTGCAGAATCTGTATTAATACTGGTTTTACTGTTTTCAGTCTTTTGTTTTTAAATCAAGTGTTACATAATGTGAAGCTGTCTTTGCATTAATGCAAGACTTATTAAATGCAAGTGTTCAAAAATGGGCATAACTAGAGGAATTCTCAATATATATTTATATAATTATTGTTGGATTTCCATTTTTTAAAAATCTGATATACTCTATGAATGATTACATTCTATGAATGATCAAACATGAAATAATAAGTGAATGAATGAATGATATACGAATATATGATATATGAATGATGTGTTTTTGAAAGACGTCTCTTATGCTCACCAAGGCTACATTGATTTGATCATAAATACAGTTAAACAGTAATATTGTAAGATATAATTAGCATTTACAATAACAGTTTTCTGTTTAAATTAGGGCTGTTTTCTAAATTAATCGAGTCCAAAATAAAAGTGTTGCATTTACATAATATAGGAGTGTGTACTGTATATATTTTTATGTATATATAAACACACACACATTGTGTTTACATATCATATATTATGTAAACTCAACACTTCTATTTTGAATGTGATTAATCACGAATAATCTATTTGACAGCCCTAATTTAAATATATTTTAAACTGTAATTTATTGATGTGATGCAAAGCTGAATTTTCAGCATCATGACTCCAGTCTTCAGTGTCACATGATCTTTCAGAAATTATTATAATATGCTGATTTGCTGCACAATTATTACCAATTATTATTGGTGCTCAATTATTAATAATGGTGTTTAATATGATCTTATTATTAAATATATGTTTTTAGAAATTGAATTTTTCTTTTATGAATAAATAGTTCAAAAGAACAGCATTTATTTGAAACTATTCTTCTTTTTTTATTTAATGCATCCTTGCTAAATTAAAGTATTAATTTAAAAGAAAAAGAAAATTACTTATTCCAAACTTCTGAATGGTAGTGTATCATGGTTTCCACAGACATATTAAGCAGCACAACTGTTTTTAACATTTATAATATTAAGAAATGTTTCTTGAGCAGCAAATCAGCATATTAGAATGATTTCTGAACACTAAATGCTGGAGTAATGCTGCTGAAAATTAAGCTTTACATCACAGGAACAAATTACTTCTCAAAATATATTAAAATGGAAAATGGTTATTTTAAATTGTAACCGTATTCCACAATATTTTGATCAAATATTTTGCAGCCTTGGTGAGCATAAGAGACTTCTTTCAAAAAAATCTGACCAACTTCAAACTTTTGACCGGAAGTGTAAATACATATGTGCTTACCAAAACTGAAAAAATAATGAGAAAATGTAAACAATAAATACATAAAAAATACGTTAATTTACGTATTTATCATTTATTTTGTTTAGCATATAATTTCATTAATTTATCATTCACATTTCCTCATCTATTTAGTATTTTGTTTTGGTCCTCCATACCCCTAAACTGAATGCTTTGTTTTACCAAACCACCAAAGGCTGGTATCATTATATAATTATGTGTCATGGAATAGGTATATTCTGACCTTCTCTATGGAGCTGATCGTCACTCCTGCTGCACAGGACACAATGAGATGACGGTCTTCGATGTCTGGCCCGATCTCATCCAAAACGAAGGGAATGATATGTGGCTTGACCGCAAGAAAGAGAACATCACTCTTGTTCACAGTCTCTTTATTACTGGTGGTGAAGTATGCTCCCATTTTCTGAAGTACAGAGAAAGTACCTCATTAACGATGTTCAAAAGTGTTGAATATTGCTTTCAAACTATTTTGCTGTCTAATATGACTCAGATGCTGGTCAAACACTCACTCTTAGCCCAATGACAGTTGGCAGGTCTGTGTCTGGAGAGCTCGCAGTTATCCTGTGTGTGGCGATCACACCTGATGGACAGGACAGTGCATAGTAACATTGTGAATAAGATTATAGGTTAGGGTGTATGTTATCTTTAAGGAAAGGTACAAGCATATATAGTATTATATGTCACCATACAGCCAAATTATGTTTTACTATTTACTATGTTTTACTATTATATTAATGTTTCATATTTTAATAATTTTATTTCACGCTTTTTCTTTCGTTAGAATTGTTTAGCATTTTTCTGAGGTTTTCCTTTAAGTGAAACTTTTGCATGCACATGTAATAAATGTAATTTTACTCCTAATTTTACGCCTCGCTTTTTTCATAATATTGCTTTTGAGAACGATTTTTTTCCAATCATTTTTCTTCGGCGTTTTATTGGCATAAACAATGGATAAAGTGTGTTTATTTATATGCATGATGTTTTATTAAATATTTTGGTTAAAAAAAAAACGTTTTGACAAAATGCTCTGACAATTACCCACTACCAAGATGGATAGATGGAGATCACATAAAAACCTTTATTTTGTCTATTTTACTCGATATAATGTGCAAAATTGTACTTATTTAATAAAGTCTGGTTTTACATTTTAAAACTTTGACTAATGTGCATCAGTGCATGTTTGGTGAGTATTTAAAGGGGTCATATGATGTTGCTAAAAAGAACATTATTTTGTGTATTTGGT